AATTTGCTTTTCTTTTGTTTCAGGAGGATGTGGTGAAAGGTATTCTTTTTTAAATTATATTTTTTGTTATTGAATATTTCATTATAATCATCATCAACTGCCCATCGCAGTCCATTGCTGGACATAGGCCTCTCTCAAGGCACGCTATTTCACACGATTCTCAGCTCGTCACTCCATGTGGCCAGAGGGCGTCCTAACCTACGTTTGCCGAGCCTAGTGGTCTCCACTCAAGAACTCGCTTCCCCCATCGGTTATCGGTTCTCCGACAGATATGGTCGGTCCACTGCCACTTCAGCTTGCTTATTCCACCAGTTATGTCGACGACCTTTGCTCTCTGTCGGATAACCGCGGATAACCCTGAATCCTGATTATCTGTACCACAAAATTAATTGGTCACAACGTGTAAGGGGGAATAAGTTCCGATTAGTTTCTACGGTTTCAGGTGTCGCGCCAGCAAGTGCTGGAATGATATTCCTCCTCCATTGCATGACATCAATATTAAAAAACGATTTAAGCGTGAACACAAAAAACATCTTTTGTCTGAGCAGATGTGTCTCGCTACATAGATTCCTTAATCGATCGGCCTGATACCTGTAAATCTGAAAATATGAATTTCCGTACCTATATATATATATATATATATATATATATATACATTCATATTTGGTGGCTATTGTTATAATTTAATATTACGTTTGTAAACTTACATACTAAACTTATGTTTAGAGTTAGGTACATGTATTTGCGTGTCGATTTGTCGATTGCGATCGCTCACCATATGGTACTGGCAGAAAACCAGCACTGTGTCACTTCTCTCGGTCTACAGTATTTATTCCGAGTCAGGACCATTTCAGCACAAACTGTAGTCATAGGCACATTAAAATTTTATCAGTTCTTATAGTATTTGTTTGTTTTTGTCACAGTATTTGTTTTTCTCGCAGTATGTGTTTTATATGAATGTGTATAAAATTAATAATGAATGTTCTATGTGCTTTTATGTTATACTCTGTGTAGTGATTGTAAGTGTTGTATTTGCTTTGAATAAAAGTGTTATCTGGCCTTCAAAGAAACTCCGAGCATAGCTTGTTCCCATCGAGTATATAACCAGAAATAGAGACGAATGTCATTTAATTTGTTTGAAAACTATTCTGCCATATCACTGTGACAACTGCTGCGCTCCGATTGGCCAGCCCGAGTTCGAAACAATTGACGGGTGTCGTCAACTGTTTCACTTCAAACCGACCAGTTAACTTGAGCTTTGCTATAATGGACGAAAATTACATATTTAATATTTAATTATCAATGCAATGTGATTCCGTTTGTTTTGTAATTAGATGTTTTGCTGTTTTTCCCACACCACTGAATAGAACAGCCCCCCCATAGTTAGAGATATTATCTTTATTACAATAAATACAGAATATTTTTTGGAATATACGGAGACGTACACACAGGTCAGTAGTTGGCCTGTCTATATTTCAGCGCAAATGAGAGTTGATATTTATAAGAGATGTATCGCTAAATAAATAAAAAAAATTTCGTCTCTGTTTCTGGTTATTACTCGATGCTTGTTGCATAACTCGCTGACCGACTGGTGAACTAACCAATCGTGAGTGTCAACGTCTCGGCTCCGTATGTCATAACAGGTGGAACGCACTGTATAAGGGCAGAATAGCGACTCTGTACTTACAGGATGTTACCTCGTGATCGCGACGCGGTAACCGTTATCACGAGGGTGTTTTCGGAGTAATTGTTGGAATTAAAAATGTTATAAGTTTAAAAGTAGGTAATGTCGTTTAATTATAAATGAAAATGTAAAATAAAGTATTGTAAATATTTTAAAAATATTAATGTTATTGTTTAGGCGTTGGTATCTTAAAAATACAATAAAATGTCGTAATACGATTTACCGCGCCAACGAAATAACTAGAACTAGTACATCTTACACCAGCATAATAAAACTAGAACTAGACCATGTTAATGCAGCAAATCAAAGTTCAATGTTGTACGTAACCGTATTTTACTACAATGATATTCGTAATGTTTATATATAATTTTTATTTGAAAATACTCCACTAGTTTATTGTTATTCATAGAATAACCACCACTGGTAGCTGTAGAGGTACTAGTAGCGACTTTGCCAGGGGATTATACACTCAATATTATCTGCCGCCTTGGTCATTCCCAGTACAGGCTGTCGCGTCTGTTCGCGACACTACAGTACTGATACTGTTTGACAAAATTCAATATTAAAACAAAACAATATCACTATTGATAGTGTTTTGTTTCTGTGAATTTTCTTGTCAATAGATTGAAGTCGTTGTGTTTTTTTTTTCTTTTTCTCAGCCTGATGGCTGTTTTTTGTTATTATTTTAATAGGGTATCTATCTATTTTAGAATCTCGCCTTTACCATGGTCTAAAACAACATTTTGAATTTTTTAAACGTGGGAGGCGGTATTCCCCGGCAATGGCACATCATGAGGTCATCCGGCGTCAGGGACTCAGGTTCAAGAGCCGGCGAAAAATACGTGTTATATTGTTATGATTATTATTAATTCCTATGAGCATACTGGAGATTTTATTTATTTTTTCTTTCGCAGAAATCCCGTCAACCAGTCGTGGAACATCCTGAGCTTTGACACATTAAAAAAAAATAGTATATAAATCAATTACCTACAAGTTAAATTTGAATCCTTGTTACTAATTTGTTCTAATTGAACTAATATTGATTAGGGGATCACTACACTTATTAAGGCAAAATCGACTTAGCTGGTCAAAAAAAGCTTTATACCCATGCTGTAAGTCCTTTACATACGTCCTTTTCGCTCTTACAGCATGGGTATGACACATAACGTCCTTTTCGCTTTTACAGCATGGGTATGGCGCATAACGTTCTTTTCGCTCTAATGGGCGCCATCAAATTATAGAAGGGCTGCAGTGGCGCCACTACTAATTTTCATACAATACTAGCTGGTGCTCGCGTCTTGGTTCGCATAGAATAAGTACTTCTAATAGCCTTCTGTACTATAGTTTTATACTTTCTTAAAAATATTAAATTATGTTTTCCGTTTTATTTGTAAATATATTTGGCAAGTAGAAAATTATTTAGCTGTATGTAATAAACTTTAAATTATGCATTTTTCATCGATTCTAAAAAAATATACTTTTTGAGTTAATATACTATTGAATTAACAGTGCTATATATGAACGAGATCGAATTCATTACTGCAAATGGCATAAATTTCAACTCGATATCCCATTTATTCTATGTTTCATTGAAATGACAAATTCTTATGTCCTTGTTGGAAAACCCCTTATAAGCGAATCATTAGAAAGGCTCCCTTATTAAATGGATGTTGAGCTTTTTCCTAACCGGTGTAATGCGATTCCATGTTGATAAGTATGGTGGCTCAACTCAACAACTCTAACGTCACCACTTTAGGATTCAAAAAGTTAACTTGTCATATTTTTATAGCCGATAATTGCAATCTTTTTAAAGGTTAGTTTGGTATCACGGACGTCATATGAAATAAGTTAAATTTTATTATATTTTGTCTTTCCTATATTCAAGGAGGCAATGAGTGTACAATTTTTGTTTTTAAAATCCCTTTTTGTCTGCGATACCCAGAGTTAAGACTATAGTTTATTTATCTAAACTTCACGTAATATATATAGAGTCCATAATATCACCCTCTGAAGTTAAAAATAAAATGCACGATTAAAAATAAAAACCAAAAAAATTGTTTTATTTTTACTTACAAAGCTTTTCTTTTAAATTCACTACTATAGTTGCTAGTTTCACAAAAAAATAGAGAACAGAATACATATAATATACTTAGTTCGGTATTTTAAAGGGAGGTATTATTCTCTCTATAAACAGGCTTATAACCTCGTGGGACTAAATTACTGATATAATTCTGCGAGGTTGTATTTTATTTACCCTGTATATTGCTTCCTTGAAGGTAAAATATACTATGAATACAAGCTCTGATTGACATCAAACAATGCCTTTACAAGTTCGCAATAATCGACCCTATACTTAAGCAAATAACGCGCAGATTTAAATGTAAAAATATTAACAAAATTGTTGTAAAAAAATTACCTTTATTTTTCCTTATTATTTTGTCAAAAAAAGTAAACTTTGGAATAAAGAATTAGGACATTATTATTTTTCGGATTATTATTATTATAATTAAATAACACATAAAATACTTAAATGATTTTCTATATTTTGTTTCTTACTCATGAAAAGCTTAAAAAAATTATACAGGTTTATTTGTAAATGACTAAAAACTTGGAAGGCCTATGTTATAACATCATAACAACTTTTGTTTCATAACTTTATGAAATATAATTTACCAAAACAATAGTAGTTTGTGACTCTTACATAATGAAAGGCATAAAAATACGAGTGTGAAAACATCACACGAGTGTTTTAATGCCTAATTATGTACAGTTACATACACTGCTTTATCTATACACATAAACTCTCTATGGTGTGTTCAGGAACAGAATGTTACGACTGGCGAAGGCGAAATGGCGGCAAATAAAAACTTGTCACGCATGTCACGCAACCGTAGTTTTTTAATTCATAGACAAACTAGAGTCGGCCCCAACAATCATATCGTTCGATATCACGTAACGTGTGAGATTTGTCAAAATTGTAACAATAATAACATTTTCACAGTTTCAAATTTGTTCTAAGAACACAGTTTATCTGCTGGGCGTAATTTGCGGTTTTTGAACACATCATATTTTTGATATATGTGTAGATAAACCTTTTTTAAGTTTTTGTTGTACTTTTTAGACCTGGGTTTTCGCGGGTTGTCATTAATGAAAATAATTTTGGTAGTGGTTCCTTTCGTTAGCTACCGCACAGAGTTATCACTATTTAGAACGATCTATTTAAATATTTCTATTTTTGTACGAAAGTAAATTCTGATGACTTATTAAAAACATGTTATTAGTATTTTACAAATAACACTGTAT